TCTTAAGTCAACGGTCCGATGCTGGGAATCTTTATGAATACTTTGGCAAGGTACGCAAGAATATGTACGTTCCACAAGATGTTCCTGTTTCCTAGACTAAGTTTCGAAATCAGAGTCAATCCAAGATATTAAGACAATCTTGGTTTCGAAGAATTACGTACTAATATATTATGACATGACTTTCCATTTCCAAGGAAAAGTTGGTTGCAAGGAATTAATGATGTGGTCTCATCGGAAACCGAGGGATGATTGCCACGGAAGGAAGACTGCTGGATTGTGCAAAGAAGTCTCCGGTTCACAGTCCTGCGACCCAGGTGAAACTCTGCTAAGCTTTGGTCTGTACCGTGACACATCATCAAAACAGTAATCCATACTACAAGAAATAGAGTAAAACTATGCTAAACCAAGAGGAAAGGTAGCCGGCCACATCACGAATTCATTACAATCAACTTTTTCTTCGAAATGAAAATTTATTCCATAGGGTCAAACCAACTCTTTATCGCTAATTTTTGTGTGTTCTTGTCATCGTATTTTTATTTCCTTTGTATAAATGTATTGGCTTTGAGTTTTCAATTCTTTAAAGTCTCAAGCTTTTTAGTGCAATCAATCATCTTCCAATTCTTTTTCCTCATCCGACAGGATCTCGGCACTGCCTGCCAAGCCCTCTTGCGCTCTCCCGGCGCTTCCTCCTCCTCTCAACTTGCCGATATTTCGTCACGGTTGGCTGCCCTTCAAGCTGTCCTGCAGGCGTGTGCTCGTGGCGTCGAAGCCTGTGCCTCAGCAGCGGGTCATCTTTCCAACGTCTACCTGATTGAGTTGGACCAGGCACTCCGTACCGCCAGAACCGGCCGCCTTCGTGCCATAGCCAGCAACACTGCCACCACTTCAATGTCCGACGAAATAATTGGGTCTGTTGGATTGTCGCCTAGGCAGCGAGAATTTCAAGGTGCTCAGGAGAAGGTGATGCTTGCGCTTAAGGGCATCTTGGAAGAGACGCAGGTCCTGGTGAGCCACAACACTAATTTTGCCACAAATAGACCTGAAATATTAACGAACTCGACCCTGACCTGATTATATTCTTTGTAGTTCTAGAAACTGTAGAAATGCGTATTTTCTATATGCTACACTTGTGTGTAGATGTGCTGATCAATAATTCGTTTTGTCATGCTAACTCATTAATTCTCATTCAACACTAATTTCTTCCTCGTTGCTATGTTTGAAAACTTGCACATTTACCGACAACCCTGCATGAAGACATTATTTTTTGCATAACTGGGATGCCAAGGCATGAGA